GTGAGAATTTGGACGAGGTGCGTTATTTTATTTCATCGCTTCGCTCACTCCGCCGGCCCATAATGTCGCACCGTGGTCGCCTGTCCGAGTGGTCGTTTGCAGTGTGGAGCTGCGGCGTCGGGAGCTGTGTAGTGTTGGGGGCGTTCTTGGGGCCCTCTTGGGCCGTCCTGGAGGCCTCTGGGGCCGTCTTGGAGCCGTCTTGGGCCGTCTTGGGGCCCTCTTGGGGGCCTCTTGGGCCCTCTTGGGGCGATCTTGGAGGCCTCTTGAGCCGTTTAGGGGCGTCGGGGAACCGAAAAGGTTAAAACGCCCAAATCTGTCCAACACCAAAGGAAAAACACAGGTTTTTGCCTCTTGGGGCCCTCTTGGGAGTTCTCTTGGAGGCCTCTTGGGGCATCTTGGAGGCTTCTTGGGCCATCTTGGAGACGTCTTGGGCCGTCCGGAGGCCATCTTGGGCGTCGTGGAGCGATCTTCGGGCGTCTCGGACCTCTCTTGGACCGTGTTGGGGGCGTTCTTGGGGCCCTCTTGGGCCGTCTTGGAGGCCTCTGGGGCCGTCTTGGAGCCGTCTTGGGCCGTCTTGGGGCCCTCTTGGGGGCCTCTTGGGCCCTCTTGGGGCGATCTTGGAGGCCTCTTGAGCCGTTTAGAGGCGTCGGGGAACCGAAAAGGTTGAAACGCCCAAATATGTCCAACACCAAAGGAAAAATCATGGATTTTTGCCTCTTGGGGCCCTCTTGGGAGTGCTCCTGGAGGTCTCTTGGGGCATCTTGGAGGCTTGTTGGGTCATCTTGGAGACGTCTTGGGCCGTCTGGAGGCCATCTTGGGCGCCGTGGAGCGATCTTCGGGCGTCTCGGACCTCTCTTGGATTGTGTTGGGGGCCTCTTGGGGCCCTCTTGGGGCGATCCTGGAGGATCTGGGGGAGTGTCCCGGGCTCCGCCCAGGCTCCGCCCCGGGTATTTTTGATCCAGGGACCCCCAGGGGCCGCCCCGCGCGCGCGAACTAGAAATACCGTTTACCAGTTACCGGAGATCTTAGCACGCCTCTGGCCCGTTGGGCCAGCGAATTTCAGTTGAGGACGTGGCTCTTCTCGTAGATATGAAAAGCTGGAGCGCCTTCTTCTTGTCGGCATGAACGGCTGGAACACCTTGCCCCGTAACAATTAAGGGCTGGAGCCCACGCCGTAGGCGACTGGAACGTTGCCCCTCGTAGAATTTGCACGCTGGAGCGCTCTCGCGTTGTCAGCATGAGCGTTTGGAGCGCCTTCCCTCGCGAAAATTGCGAGCTGGAGCCGTGCCCCGCATAGGGTTTGGAGAATATTACGAGGGGGGGGATGGGGGGGGCACGGGCCGGGGCGGCGGGGTTTCTAGCATTGCATTCGCGCCTCGTTCCCTTATGGGGGCAGTCCGCTCGCGCTCGTGCGCGTGCGGTCGGTCGGTCTGTCGGCGTGGTGGTCGATCGGTCAGTCCGTTGGTCGGTCGCTTGGACCGGTCGTCCGTCGTCGGTCGGTCGGTCGGTCGGTCGGTCGTCGTCGTCGTCGTCGTCGTCGTCGTCGTCGTCGGTCGACCCCGCCATGGCGCGCCCTGAAATCGCGCCACGGGAGCAAAACGGGCCATGAACACAATGCGCAGACCATGGCGTTCGACCACGAACAATAATCTGTTGACTGGGCAGGCAGTGGATGAATTAGCTAGTGTGAATGCGGGCGAGGTGTGTCCGTTTATTTCAGTTGAGGCCGTGGCTTTCCTTTCAGTGAAATGGAAGGCTGGAGCGCATTCGTCTTGTTGGCATGAGCGGCTGGAACACTTTCCCCCGTTAGAAGGCTGGAACCCGCGCCGTTGGCGGCTGGGACGTTTCCCGTCCCACAAATTGAAGACCAGGGCGCATTCGTCTGCGTGCGTGCGCGGCTGAAGCATTTTCCCTTGTGAAAATTGCGGGCAGGAACCGCACCCCGTTTAGGGTTTTGAAAGCTTGAAAACGTTGAGAGGGATGGGGGGGGCGCGAGCCCAGGGGCGGGGTTCCTACCGTTGTATCCACGTCTCGTTCCCAGATGGGGGCTGTGCTCGCTCTCGTGCGCGGGCGCTTGGTTGGTCGGTCGGCCTGGTCGTCGGTCGTCGCTTGGTCGTTGTCGTCGGTTGTCGCGCCAGGGCGCTCTCTGAAGTCGCGCCGCTGGAGCTATCAAGGCTTCAGTGAGGTTCAGGACATGGCGCTGGGCCCGAAACTCCTCCCGACCGATCAGATATGCCCCATGGAATCTCACTACCAACCGTAGCCCGCTGACCATAAGGGGGAATTAGGCTGCGAATCCACTGTATCTTACTAGCGCGTCTCAGAGTCCTGGCGGCGCAGACCGCGCGCGTTCTTTCGTGTTCCAGGAGCCCCCCGAGCGCGGGTGAGCGACGCCGCGCCTGATGCCCAGCCTGGCGGTGGCCAGCCCGACGGGCAGCCCGCAGTCGAGCCCGTCGCCGAGGTCGACGCGCAGGGCGACGAGGGGGAGACGGGGGTGCCCGAGTGCGAGGACGGGGTCGCGGGCGTGGCCGAGGCCGCGCAGCCCGTCGCCCCACCCGACGACGTGTTGGCCGATGTCTCGATGGCCCTTCCGACTCTCGCGGTGCTTGGGGGCCGCGCGGCCGCGGGCGAGTGGTGCGAGGCGGGCGCGCGGCGCGCCGCAGCCCGCCGCGTCGCGCGCTGCCGGCAGACGCCCAGGTGCAGGTCGACCAGCTCCAGGCGCAGCAAGCCCAGAGGCGGGCAGAGAAGAGGCCAGCCCTGGTGGCGAAGCTCCGGCATGGGCGGGCCAGGTGAGCCTGAGCGCCGCGGGCGCATCGTTGGCGCGCCGGCCTCCGGGCACGGCGCCGAGAGATCGAGGGGTGGCCGCGGCCGCGGCCACCGCCGCCAGCGTTCGGCGAGCGACGCCGACACTCCTCTCGAGTGCAGTGGAAAAAATCGGAAACGAATCTATGGGCTTAGGGCCCCATTCACATTGTGTCCCATTCACATGGTTCCGCGCGTGGGGTTTCGTGCAGAATTGGGTTCGTCACACGTGGGGATCCACGCGCAAACACATACACACACGCACGCATGCCGTTTCTTCGTTTACGGGGTTTCCACACACACATTTGGTTGTCATATGCGCAAGCGCGGTTACGTATACGCTTAGGTCGCACTTAGGTTTCAATCATACAGGGGTCTGGGCGTTCGCACGGGTCCGCTGGTAGGATGTCACACATGTTCTTCTCCTGGCTGATTTCTTTGCGTCAGCGCGCGAGTATAAAACGATTGCGACGGATATCATCATTGCGACTAGCAGCAGACCCTTCAGCTTTTTGCGGGGCCCGAAGCAGGGCGACCCACTAAACTCCCTACTTTTCAACGCGCCTCTCCAACGCATCCTGGGTCCGCTCGCCTCCGAATGGCAGCAAGGAAAGAAGGGGGTTGAATTGTGATTCACGAACACCGCAACGCTAACCAACCTACGTTTTGCCGACGACGTGCTCTTGACCAGCCAAACTCTCCCGCGTCTGACCTCGATGCTTGACGACATTGTGTGTGCGACAAACCTACATGGGCTCGAAATGCATCCAATCAAAACCAACATACTCAGCAATCGGACGAGAAGGACCCGAAGGGCGAGCTCACGCACAGCACGCGTCCAAGGCATACATATGGAAGTCATCCCATACGAGGGCAATATCGCAATTCAAGTACCTCGGCCAGCTGATCAGTTTCCACGAACCGATGGACATGGAGATGCTGAGATGCCGCACCGCATGAGACTTGCATGGGCATCGTTTACATATCGCAAACAAAAGCTGACTAGCAAGTACTACCCACTGGCTCACCGACTCCGCCTGTTCAACATAATATTAACACCGACAGCACTATACGGAGCAGAAACGTGGACATTCACGGAACCCTTTACGGCAGCAACTACGACGGACACAACGACGCATGTTTCGCATGATCATCAGAACGCTGAAACGACGCACGACAACACACATTGACCTTCACAGCAGCCAGCGACCACCAGACAGCGAAGCACCAGACAACGAAACACCAGACAACGACGCACCAAACAACGACCACTGCAACAGCAGCATTAGCGACGACGCAGACAGCAACCCACCCCAGCGCGACACACTTGCCACACCTGATGTGCATAGCGAAGACGGCGACGTCAACACTACAACAGACCTGGAGGAACCCTGGGTCGAGTATATACAGCGAGCGACGCGACGTGCAGAACACCTCATGAAATTCCACCGCATCGACAACTGGGAGACGGCTCGCAATCGAAAAGTATGGCGAATGGCTCCAAGAGTCGCAAACCACACCCTTGGACACAGCAGCTATTGCAATGGCGACTAGACCTCAACCCACGGCAGCAAGGACAGAGGCAGTACGGTCGGCAACACAAGCGTTGGGACGACGAAATCGACATTTGTCTGCGCCAACGCAGACCAGACCTTCACCGACCGACCGCACATACCTGCGCGACAGGAGAACCAAACGACATTACATGCATTCGAACAGCACAGGACACCGAAACATGGACGGCGCTCGAGCGCCACTACGTCGACCCCACACCAACAGACACCCAGAACCGAAGCCAGCGACGCGAACGCCCAGCAAGAGTCGATCCCACGTCGACACCGCCTCCTCTTCCTCCCTTCTTTCTTCCCACCCAGGCTAATACGACCGACCCCAAGGACCATCCTCCCTCCGTCTCTCGTTCTATTTTTTTTCGCATGTGTCTCGCATTGCATGTTGTCCAGACACTCCAGATTCCCGAGGCCACGGCCTCGCCCACCGGGTTTTGAGTAGGCCCTGACGCTGTCCGCAACGGTGGTCGCATCGCATCGCAGAGACAGAGAGAGAGAGAGAGAGATAGAAGCTAAAGTAGCAGCAGAAGTCGCAGTAAGAACATACTCTCATCCCCGCCTGAGCCGTGGACCTCCTGTGGTCAGTGAGCCCTGGGCCGGTCGAAGGCCCCGCCCCCGTCTCTCTGGCAGGAGGGTGCCGGCCGCTTGGAGGGCTGCTCGCCGCTGTCCACGCCGCGCGGCGGCTTGGACAGCCCGCTGAAGGATGATGGGGAATCCGAATGCACGTCTGCCCCGAAGGCAAGCGAAGACGAGAGCGCCTGGCGTCCTCTGACAATCGGGCATGGGGTAGCACTGGGAACCGATGGGAAGCGTCATACGTTCTGGCGCTGCCGCTTTCACACAGCCTCGTCCGAGACTGAGTGAAAGCGGCGATTTGCCGGAGCAGGATAGCACTTGGCTGCCAGTGTCTTTTTCGCCTCATCAATTTCCTTGTCTTTCTACGTCTCCTTCTTTTTAGCATCAATATAGTTCGGCCTCGGTCTCTCCAGATCCCTTTGTGTCTCTGCTGTTCTCTGTCTCTCTCTCTCTCTATCATTCTCTTTTTATCTCCCAGTGTTTTGTCACATATTATAATATGAGCTTCTTGTTACTACTTGCCGCCGACTCTCCTCCCCCTCTCCCTCTTCCTCAATGGAACTCACTCATACTCAGGCTCACTCGTACTCAGACTTACTCGTACTTGGACACACTCACACTCAGAGTCACTCATACTTCGACTCACACTCAGACTGACTCACCCTCAGACCCACTCGTACTCGGACCCACTCACACTCAGACCCACTCGCACTCAGACCCACTCACACTCAGACTCACTTACACTCAGACCAACTCACACTCAGACTCACTCACAGTCAGACCCACTCGCACTCAGACTTTCTTTTTATATTCAGGCTCACTCACACATCATAATCACTCATACTCATACTCCCTCACACTTCTGACTTACTCCTACTCAGACTCATTCACACTCAGGCTCAACCACAATCAGACGCGCGAGGTGGTTGTTTCAGCACCTCAAGGGGGAGCCGCAAGGGAATAGGACACTTGCCCATTCGCGACCAGATTGTGTGGATGTCTCGAGCGGTTTGCCTGTTTGGTGGCTTGGATTTGGGTGGTTTCGGATGTCTCGAGCCCGGCGCTGGTTTCTACAAACCAAGGGGAAGCCGGTTTGCCTATTTGGTGTCTTGGTTTTCAGTGTTTTCAGAGCAGACTCTGAGGATGTCCGAGGCGTTGGCTCCAGCACCCCACGGGGGAGCCGCTAGGATGCAGAACACTCGCCCGTTCGCGGCCAGATAGTGGGGATGTGTCGAGCGGTTTGTCTCATTGGTGGCGTGGACTTTGGTGCTTTCACAGCAGGTCGTGAGGAAGAGGAGGAAGAGGAGGAGGAGGAGGAGGAGGAGGAGGAGGAGGAGGAGGAGGAGGAGGAACAGGAGGAGGAAGGGGAGGAGGAGGAGGAGGAGGAGGAGGAGGAGGAGGAGGAGGAGGAGGAAGAGGAGGAAGGGGGGCAGGAGGAGGAGGAGGATACCAACGCACTCCTGTCTCCATATATACTCAGATACGCCACAGCCAGACCTACTCGCGCAGCAACTCGATCATACTCAGATTCAGTTACTCTCTCACACTCGAGGAAACAACTCGTCGTTAGACCCGTCGTTGACGCGGAAGCGCTCTCACTCCCAGACGCTCACGCACATTCTATCGCTGCGGGATGCCTCACGAAATAAAACATATGGGATTTTGACACAGTGAATGCATCCACTCCCTCTCTCTCTCTCTCTCTTTTTTTACCTAACAGCTTTTGCTGATAGGTTTCTAGTGGACTCAAAAGAGAGCAGCAGATGACTCCACAGGGGGGTCGGGGCGGGACCGGGGGCGGCTGCCGCCGAAGCCCAAATCGCTTGGGACATCCTCGCAAAATCGCTCTTGGCGCTGCCAGAACTCCATTCCCGGGCCAAATTTTGAATGCCCGGAGCCAACTGTAGGCCACTTCGTGCTCTTCGACTTCCCAGAACTCCATTCCCGGGCCACATTTTGGATGCCCGGAGCCAACTGTAGGCCACTTCGTGCTCTTCGAGTTCCCAGAACTCCATTCCCGGGCCACATTTTGGATGCCCGGAGCCAACTGTAGGCCACTTCCTTCGAGTTCCCAGAACTCCATTCCTGGGCATGATTTTGAATGCCCGGAGCCAACTGTAGGCCACTTCGTGTCTTCGAGTTCCCAGAACTCCATTCCCGGGCCACATTTTGAATGCTGAGGCAGGCTGAGGCTGAGGCTGAGGCAGGCTGAGGCTGAGGCAGGCTGAGGCTGAGGCCGAGGCTGAAGGCAGACTGAGGCTGAGGCTGAAGCAGGCTGAGGCTGAGGCTGAGGCAGGCTGAGGCTGAGGCTGAGGCAGGCTGATGCTGAGGCAGGCTGAGGCTGAGGCTGAGGCTGATGCAGGCTGAGGCTGAGGCAGGCTGAGGCTGAGGCCGAGGCTGAAGGCAGACTGAGGCTGAGGCTGAAGCAGGCTGAGGCTGAGGCTGAGGCAGGCTGAGGCTGAGGCAGGCTGAGGCTGAGGCTGAGGCAGGCTGAGGCTGAGGCTGTGACTGTGACTGCCGTTGCCACTGCGACTGTCATCGCGAATGCGACTACGACTGCGAGAACAGCAGAATTCTACAACTGGATTCTCATCTGAATCGTAAAGGGAATGCTTCCAGATATGCTCCTACACATCGCTGTTAGGTTGCTTTGCCGGGATAATGTTGTTTTTGTTTCTCTCTCTCTCTCTCTCTATCTGTATCATTTCTCCTTTCCTAGACTTCGCATCCTCTTGCTGTTCTGCTCTTTCAGGTCCCACGTATCCTTATCTCAGGAGGAGGGGGCAGGAAAGGTCAGCATAGGCTTAGGCTTAGGCTTTCTGCTTCACCGGCAGGCGGACGACGACGCCGAGGACGTCGTGGCACGCGCCCAGAGGCTCCTGGAGCACGCGTGCTTGGCAAAGGCTGGAGGGCGGAAGAAGAGAAAGACGCCCATCCCAGGGCCTCCCCCGCCCCGACAAGCCGACTGCTGGCCTCCTTCGGTGTCCGTCGATCGTCGCTCTCACCTCGCATTTGGCGTGCCTGGTCTCCCCTGGGTGCGCACCAGTCCAAGCCTTCTTGCGCCCCTCGCTGCTCAGCCCTCCCTCCCCCCTCTCGAATGGCCTGGCGGTCAGGACTGCGTGATCTTCGAGGAGGAAGACGACGAGCTGCGGCACCATCGCCAGCGCTCCGAGGCGCTGGGCCCACTGGCACACTCACTGGCGGACCTTTTGGCGGAGCACGAGCGGATGCGCGACGCGGGCGCAGTCCTCTTGGACACCATGGAGCGACTGCAGGAGGACAACCAACAGCTGGCTGGGGACGCGGCGTACTGGCGCGCCCTCGTGGAGGGAAGGAGGGGCGAGGAGAACTCCAGCGCGGGGGACACCAGCTGAGGGAAAGCCAGGGGGGGGTACCAATGAGGGAGGGGGCCGGGACCTCCCTCCCGCCTCCCCCTTCCCCCTCCGCTCGACCTTCCTCCCCCCTCCGTATCTCTTCGCCGCCTCGCCTGTCTCTCCCTCACTCTCTCTCTCTCTTTTTCTGTTTCTCTCCCTCCCCGCTCCTCTCCTCTATTCCCCTGTCAAGCACCGGCCCCTCCCCCTGGGCTGCACCCAGACCTTCCGCCAGCCAGAGGAGACTCCGGAGAGACTGCCTTGCGCGAGCCTGGGGGAGGCCGATGAGGACCAGCCGGAGTTCACGCCGTGAGCCGGCCCGGGGCGGGGCCCCGTGCCAGACGACGCCCCCGTGGGCTCGCAGGCCAAGGCCGTGAGTGGTGAGCAAGCCCCGGCCGGGGCGGGGGCTCGGGCGCTGTCTCTGGGGGTCCGCCTGCCAGCGGCCCCGTGGGGCTGCGGCCGCGGCGGCGCAATTAGGAATTTGGACATGGGCGCAGGTGGGCCTGTCAACCGACCTCTTCCACCTTGAGAGCGCCTCCACATCCCCTTGTCTTCCACCTCCTCCGCTCTCTTCCCCTTTTTCCTTACTTCCTGCCCGTCCGAGTGCCCCTCCTAAATTTCCTCCTGCTCCTTTGTGTCCCTCCTTTCCTTCTCGTGCTTCTTCTCCTCATCATCCTCTCCTACTGGTCCTCCGTAGTCGTTTTGACTCAAGGGCCTCAGGGACCATTCGTTCCCCATCCGGATGCGCGTGCCCGCCGCGAGCGGGGGTGTGCCATGGCGGCGGTTGGCTGTGAGGGCTCTGGTCACTGTCTGTTTTCGCCACCTTCGAGGGTGTCTTCACGGTATTGGCGTGGACTCGGCCTCGAGTTCCCCGAATTCTTCTTCCCCGCCACCTGAGTGGGTGCTTGAAATGATGCCTGGGTGTCGTTTGTATGTGCAGGGCTCCTCTCTCTTTCCCTTTTTCTCGTCCTCTCTCTCTCTCTTGTTTTTTTTTGTTCTCTCTCTCTCTCTCTCTCTCTCTCTCTCGGATCCGCACCATCGCCGCCGCCACCGCGACATTGTTTCAGGCACGACCAACGACTCTGACCCTGGCCGCCGCTTTGCTGACAGTGATGAAAAATCCTACCGGCAATCAGTGCTATGGCCCGGGGGACGTCCTTCATCGATCCTTGGAGTGGCGTCGCGGCGAGGCAATCTCGTCGGGCGAGGTCGTGGCATACCGGTCGTGAAAGCCAGGGTCGCTGAACGCGACTGAGTACCTGGCCACCCGCCCGCGATGACCGTGCAAACCATGTTCGCTCGCCTGAGCAGATCAGGTCGGCAGTACCGTTTGGGGGTGCGGGCTCAGCATCGGCGCATGATGCTGCCCTGGCCGATTTTCGCGACAGACCATGACCTCCACTGGCACTGGTTGCTCCGCGCGGCGTGGCCGCGCGGTGTGGCGGCGCCCTCTGAGCAGGTCTTCGCGACGGCTCCATGGCCTCCGCCCACGGCGATGCAGCGGACCAGCACGCACCTCCGACCACCGCGTCACCTGTGCGCGGGGAATTTGCTCACAGTCCGACGCCCATATCTCGCGGGCGGAGTCTGAGCTGGTCGACCAGCGTTGGGCTGCACCGTTTTGTTCCGCGCTCGTCCTCTGCAAGCAGATGCTGCGCCGGGAATTTGATTGCGTGGCGGCTTCCGCGTTTCGGTTGTTGTCGGCTATTGACGAGTGTGTCGACGGTCCTCCAGGTAGGGGGAGCGAGGCCCTCATGAAGCGTCGCAGTGGGACCGTCGAGGCGTCGGTCTAGCAAGAGTCGACGCAGCTCTCCGCGACGAGTGAGGCCGCGAATGAGAAGCTGGAAGGCATATGTGTCCGCCTGGCGGTCCTGTAACCCCTTTGCAAGCATGCTGCTGATTGCGCGCGTCTGCGCGCGTGTGCCCATTGGTGGGGGGCGCGGACGCGAGCTCGCTTCTCTCCTGCGGCGCTTGGCTTAAGCTTTCCTCCGAGCTATCTCATCGCCCAGATCTATACAGTCCGTCAGCGACAGGCTCACCAGCGCGCCATGTCTTCGCCGCGACGGGCTGTGGGTTCATGTCCAGTGCCCAGAGCGATCGCGGACATACTGAGGGAATTTGCCCGCCGGGAGATCACTGGCCGTTCGGCGAGTCCTGATATTGGATCTCAGCTGACGTGACGGCGTGCCGTATTCGGCTCCGTTGACCCCAGACGGGGCCTTCACCCGCCAACGAGCGAGCTCGACGGCGCGCGAAGCCGCTGGCTGAAGCCGTGCTGGGCGCGTCCACGGCCAGCGGCGATGCTCGCGCTGATTGCGCGCGTTTTTGGGCTTTCCGGGCTCTTTGCTCGGTCGCGCCGTGCGCCGGGCTGGCAGCTGGGCGCTGCATCTGTCTGCCTCGACGCGCGACTGCGCCCACTGGTGCGCCGCGCGCGCGGTCGAGCGCCCCCCTCCCGAGCTCGGCGCCCTGTTCGGCAGGCGCGCCGCGGGAACCGCCGCCTCGGGCGCGGTCGAGTTGGCCATCGCCGGGGGCGGCAGCGGAAAGGGCGCGGGACTTGAGCGGACCAGGGCGCCCGGGGCTGGTAGCAGAGTTGGCTGCGTTCCTGGGGCGAGCGACGCTCGCCGGCAAGCGCGCAGCCGCGCGTCTCGCCCCCTCCCGTGGATCCAGTCGTTCTTCTCCGCCTAGTTGGCCAAGTCTCGACCTGCCGCGAGGAGGAATGGGCGCGTCATCGCGAACGCCTTGCGCCTAGACCCCGAGGCCCCTTTTCAGCGGCGGGCCCTCGGGCGGCGCAACGGCCGAGTCCTCGGGCGCAACCGATCGCGAATTCCAGGTGCCAGCCGGCGCAGTTGATGGGCGGCGGGGGGCTGCGTGACCGCCCCCGCTTGGGCGCCTGGCCCTTCCCCTTTCGGGCCTCGTCCGGCCCGGTCGCCTCGGCTGGTCGCTAGCCGGCAAACGAGGTCGGAGTGTCCTTCGCTGCGGAGGCCCGCCACCTCTTGGCGCCATCTCAGGCGGCTCCGATCGCGCCCGCGGGCTGGGCGGGGCCCCCTGCCCAATGCGCGGCTGGTTCGACGGAGTCTGCGCGTGATTCTGCCAGGGCCTCGCAGCTGGAGAGCAGCGCGCTCGCCCTGGGCATTTATCCTTCCACGCCGGGGTAGGGCCCCCCCCCCCCCCCCGGGCCCGCGACGCCCTGTCGCGCGGCGTCGGCATGTGCTTCGGGCCAAGGCGAGTGCGAATGCAGGCGCTGATTTCGTCTTCACCCATCTCCCCGCGCGCCCCCCCGGGGCGCGCCTTGGCGCGCGAGCGATGGCCAGATGGAGAATGCGGCGAGCACGGGCCTTGCCTCGAGCGGCGCCGCCGTCGGGGCGGCCCCGCCTGCTCGCGCGCCAAGCGCAGCCGCGGGCGAAGCAGGGGCTGTCGGCCTGAGCGCTTCAGATCGCGGAGGACGCGCGGAGGTGAACTCAGCTCTTTGCGGCATCGAGTGGCCTCTGGCCCATCCCACCAGCGTGCCTGAATTGTGGCCCGGAGTCCTTGGAAGCCTCTCGGGGGCCTCTTGGCGGTCTCTCGGCGCTGCTCGTGGCCGCGGCCAGGGTGCGATGGCGTTCTCGGGGGCCGTTTCGGAGGGGCCGAGCTCGAAATTGGGGCTGCTCCTAGGGCCGCCTTTTCGGAGGCCTCGGGGGCCCTCCTTGGGCTCTCTCTCGTGGGGGGCTCTTCGGCCGCTTTGAATTTTCTTCAGAGCGAGAACGCGACAATCTTACATCTGCCACAGTTTTTGTCCAATGAGTCTGGCTTGTTTCGCATGGCCTGCGAGATGGCCCGCGCGGTCCAGGACTCGCCCTGGGACCGCCTCAAGCCGCGTTGGAAGTGCGGATTCCACGCCTCGCCCAGAAGCTTCCAGAGAAATAGCGGGATGTACGTCGCCGCGCGGCGGCGCCCCGGAGTGCCCGTGACCTGGGGCTCTTGGCTCCATTCAGTACAGAGCGATCGGGGACTTCAGGGCGCCCCGCTCGACGACTACCGCAACGCGGTAGAATCAGGCGACTGGCGGCGCCTCTTCCTTTGAGGGCGCTTCCGCCGCAGTTCCTGGAAGCGGGCTGGCAAGCCGGCCCTGGCCGACGTCGCCCCCGCGTGACCTGCTCAAGCAGCAGCCGCAGGCGGCGCTCCGCATCTCTCGGCTAGTTTCTCGCGCTGCTGCGTGGGCAAAGCCAGCGAGGGGCGCGCCGTGCGCCGCGGGTCTCCTGGACAGCCGACCCCCCGAGGCAGGCAGCAAGGGGGGCCTACTCGAAGCAGAGGGGACCAACTTCGCCGCGGCCACGCGTGGTCGCGCCTGGGCCATGCGGGCGATGCGCAGTTGAGCGCGAACAGCTGACCGACGCAGCATGGCCTTCTCAGTGATGGGACCGACGCGGACGGCGCGAGACAGCTGACCGAGTCGCGCGCGCGCGTGCAGCGCCAGGCTGCAGCAGAGACTCAGACCACACTGGCTTCGGCTGCATGATTTGGCTGGCTCGGCGCGAACTGACCCGGGCTAGATTGGGGCAGGCTTGGCGGGGCTGGGCCAGGCCGGGCAGGAATTGATCGCGCTCGTCGGGTCTGGATTGGGCGGGTTCAGTTGGAGTCTGGCTGGGCGGGGCGACCTCGGTTAGGGTAGGTGTTCGGATTTGCTGGGTTGGCCCGGGCTAGACTGGTTAGGGTTTGATTGGACTGGGCTGCGCTGCCCTAGGCCGAAACGGCGTGCGCTGGGCTGGACTGGCATGGACGGCATTGGATTGGAATCTGCTGGGCTTAACTGGGCATGGTGCTGCATTGTAATGGATTGTGCTGGAAACGACCGAGTCTGGGCTTTGCCAGGATGAACTAAATTCGCATGTACATGGGTTCGACAGGACTGATCTGAATTGGCTCTGCTGCGCTGCAGCGCGGGGGGCTGGGGTCAGGCTCAACCGTCTGGTGCGGGACCAGACTGAAAGCAATTGTCCTTGATAGGGCGGGCCCTGGCTGGCTGACTCGTGCCAGAGTGTGCTGGTCTGAGCCAGACAGGACCTAATTTGTTTGGGTGGGGCTGGATTGTGCCTAGCTGCGTTTGAGAAGAGCAGACTGAACTGCGCTGGACTGGATCATTTTGATTGAGTTCCACTGAGCTGGGACTCGCTGGACCGGGGCACAGGGGCGGACTGGAATGAACTCGCTCGGATTGGCAGGACTGGGCAAGACTGGACGGGCATGCCCTGCTATCTCAATTCGCGAAGCATGGTTCGTTGCCGACCTTGGCTTGCTCTTGCTCTGTTGATGCGCGCTTGCTGGTTCGCGCATCCTTGCTCTCGCGCCAACTCGTCGGGGTCGCGCAGGTGCCCGGGGGATTGTTTTGGCAAGCGTGCGAGCAAGCGCAAGTATGCAGGCCAGTGCAATTACGCACCTCGAGCGAGAGATCAGGCGAATAAGTGCGCAAGCAGGCGCAGGACGGAAATGGGGCCAGGAAGCGAGCTCGACAGAGCAAGCAAGTACACGTGATATATGCATGTCTGGCGAAAAATTGCTCGCTCGCGGTAGCTCGTTCGTCTGCCCCCTTGCTCGTCTGCGTTGGTTTCTGCTGGCTTGCGCCTGCGCGTGCGTCTGCGCGCGCTTGCTCGCGCTGGCTTGGCTGATCGATCGCTGTCGCTCGCGCTTCCATATTCGCTTCGACGAGTGCCCCGCGCGCTTGCTTGCATCCTTGTATTATCGCACTATTGCCCTCCAGCTTTCCTGCTGGCTCGCTCGCTTGCTGGCGCGCCAGCATTGTTTTTTTTTTTTGCGCGCCTCAGCTTGCGAGCAGGGCGCCATTTGTTTGCGCGGTGGCCAGGGCTTGCTTGCATGATCGATAAGCTGCGCATCTGGTGAAGTTTGCCTTCGCGTTCTCGCGGGCAGTTGCTCTCGCACCTGGCGGGCTCGCTCGCATGCGCCGGATCGCTCTCTGGCCTCCCCACGCTCATTTGCAATCGTACGCTGGCCCATTTCGCTTGAATTGCCCGCGTGCGTAGCCTGGCTCTCGTGCTCATCTTTGATTGATTGCAGTCTTTCGCGTTCGCGCTGGGTATTCACGCGCGGTTGCGTGCACTTGCTCGAGATTGCATGTTTTTGCTCATCCAGGGCTGATCCAGCATATTGGCTTAAACGTGCTTCGACTTAAGTGTCTGCCCGCTTGTTCCAGTGTTGCCGCGGTAACTTGCTCGGGCCTGCGATTGCATGCGTTAGATTGATTGTCTGTTCGATTATGGCCTTTTACGTGTGTCCATGATTGGTGGCGTTGGTTTGGTCGCTTACGCGCCATAGCTTGTTTGCGTTAGTTCTCTTGCTCGCCCTGCCACTGGTTGCGCTGGCAGCCAAGCCGGCTTGCGTGATGATGAAAAGCCGACTTGCAATATCGATGAAACTAGAACGGGTAACCAGCGCACGCAAGACCACGGCAAGCTAATACAAGCTATTGGGCTACTGCTCCTGCGAATCCAAGCGCCAATGCCAAGTGCTACCAGTAAGTGTCAGTAGCGATAGCGGTAGACATGTGACGGTGTTTCATAGGTTGAGCTGTCCAACAGGTAGCGTCCATCGTGATCTTGTGAAGATGTGTGTATATATATATATATACACAGAGAGAGAGGGGTGCGTGCGCATAGCTATCTGTTGGAGACTCGTGAAAATCGACGCGCTTTAAAGGCGTCTCGTCCACGACGTTCCTCTCTCAGGCCTGCTGCTTCGGAAAGCGGGGGCCGCCCGCTCTTCCCGGGCCCGCGAGCGCGTTTGGAGCGCTGCTGCCCCGCCCATCTGGCGGCGCTGGGGCGGCGCGGCGGGCGGCCCTTTGGAAATTGGGCCGGCCAGGGGCGGCGGGTCGGCGCGCCGGTCGCGGCGGCGGCCTCGCCTGGCCCGGCCTGCCCGGCGCTGCTGGGGCGGGGCTTCCCCGACCGCCCCGAGGTGCCCGCCTAGCCGTTTGCCCGAGCTGGTCGGGGCCTTCGACGGCCGACGCGGGCGTGCCGAGGCAGGCGGGCGCGCGCCTGCTGGCGCGGCGGACTCTGACGCGCGGCGCGCTGGGTGCAGGAGCGGGCCGCGAGGCCAGCGTCAAGGCGCTCGGCCGACGGGGCTCGACCGCCTCGAGATGTCCCTGCTGGCGTTCAAGACTAGCCGTGCGTGGTAGAGTGTGAGGGCCGGGCGGACAATCGAGGTGCGATGCCGAGTCGACTGCGTTGACCACGAAAAGCTGCGTCTGCTCCCCTGGTCGGCGGACGAGGATCGCTGGTACGTCTTCGCCCTCGACCTTGACGAATACGTCGAGGCCGTGACGGTCGCGCCCGACGCCGCCATCATCCCGGCCTTCCGCTGCGGGTTCGCTGGGGGCTGCGGCAACGCCCCCTCGCCGGGCGACGAGGTTGACGGCCGCGGTCGGCGCTCCGCGCGAGCTGGGCCCGACGACCTGTTCCCGCTGGACGGCGTCGACGTCGTCCACTGCTGGTTGGCGAGGCCCGAGAGTGTCCTGGGCGTCGTCGGGGGCGAGCTGCGGCGCTGGGCAGCGACCATCGGCGACGCCGCACGCGGCGCCGCCACCCCGCCGGCGACCGCTCCTGCCGCCGGAGCCTTGGGGGCCGCGAGACGTTCGTCCAGTGGGTCGGCGGCCCCGCCGCAGACACCCGCGCCGCGTGGGTCGGCTGCAGCAGCCCTGGGAGTTTCGAGTCGTGGCGGGACGCGACTCGGGGGAGCATGCAGGAGGCCGTCGCTGACGCTCCCCTCGAGGGGCCAGGCATGGCATTTGTCTTGGGCAAGCACTTCGACCGGCTCGGGGGGGCCCCTCGCCAGTGGCTCATCATGGGGCGGAAGGGGCGCAATATGGATTGCGGCGAGATGGAGATCTTGCGCGTCGCCCTCTACATCGGGGGGGCGGCTGGCCAGCTGAATGCTGACGCCCTCGCCTGGCTGGAGACGCTCAGCCACGGCAGGTCCCGCGGGAGCAACCTGGTCAGCGGCCCCCTCCAGTCGCGCGTGGCTCTGCGGGCCAAGGATCACGCCGACGTCATCGGTGTCATCGGCCAGGTCGGCGGTGCTCGCGGGCCTCGAGGCAACCCCGCGACCGCCGCGGCGTTGGGCGCGGGGGCGGCGGCCGAGGCCAGCGTGGACTCGCGCCCGCTGCCGCCCCCCTGTCATGAGCGGCAGCGCCGCCGAGGGGTCTCGCCCCACCTTCGGCGGGCAATCAGTGGGTGTTGGGGGCCCTCCCCCAGGCGGGCGGCCGACGAGGGACTTCTTTCCTTTGCCGATTCCTTCGTCGCCGGCTGGCCCTGCCACCTCGACTCGTTTGATAAAGAAGGCATGGGGCCAGGCTATAGCGGCGCAACAAGACGGTGCAGGAGGCGGCCCACGGATTGAATTGGCTAGCCGGCTACGACACCTGGGACTTTGCCCCGGGGTCGGCGACGCCAGGACTTCTGACGCCCGCGGCAGTTGGCCCGCGCGGAAGGCCTGGTCAAGGACGGGGAGCCCATGCCTGAGGCCCCCATCGGGGCGGGGGGGCCCGCGGGACCTCTTGCGCGGTCTGTCCCTGTGCGAGCTGGAGACTGGCTCCGCGAACCTCGCGGCCTTGCCGACTCGCGTCTTTGCCTGGCGACGTTTCGGGCCCCCCCCGATCGAGTCGCTCCAGGGCGCGGAGGTCCCTCGTTGCGAGGCCTAGCGCCTAGCATGAGCTAATGCTGCGACCCGAGACTGAGACTGAGACTGACGAGATAGAGTTTGAGACGCGGCGGATCACGCCGCATGCCGATGGGAAGCTGCTGTTCAACAAGACGGCGTATCACGTTGTCGCGAGGAGGCTCTGGCACTTGGGCATGCTCGACGCTGCGTTCAGGCCGCGGGACAGGATCGGGATTTTCTTCGTCTGGAAGGGCAACAAGACGCGCCCCGGGCTGATCATAGACGCCGAGAGGACCAACTTCTGATTCCGCACCCCGCCAGGCGCTCGGCTCTGCACCCCAGAAGCCTTCGCGAACATCGAGGCTTGCGACGGCGACCCCAAGACTGAAGGTGCACCTGGGCATGGCGGACGTGAAGGGCTGCTCCCACCGCCCCAAAGCTCCGTCTGGCTCAGGGCCTTTTTCGCCTGGCCGGAGGGGCCTGCGCGGGTGCTGGGACTGACGGCGCTGGACGGCGTCCAGCTCGGGCCGACCGACGCGGCGTGGCGTACCTCGGCCTCCATGAACATGGGCTTCGCCTGGTCGCTGTACTTCGACCGGAAGGCCGACGAACGGCTGGCCGCGGCCGCGCCCAGCCTGCGCGGCTCGGAGCTCCTGCGCGACCAGTCGCCGCCCCCGGTGCTTTCCGAGGATCGCCCCCGGCACTGCGCGCGCGCGGACAGATTTAGCGCCTTTTCGCGGGGCGAGAAGGCCGCGGAGAAGGCCGTCCGAGAGCGGGGGGCGGGCTTCGCAGAGCACGGGCTGGAGCTGCGCGGGGGCGAGGCGTTGAGCAAGGACATCCGCGCCTTCGCCTGTCGGCAAGACGGGCGCCAGCTCCGCGCGGCCACTGCGCCCGAGCGATTTTGGAAGATCTGGGCCGCGAGTGGGGAAATGCTCTGTCGCGGCAAATGTTCAGGTTGGGCCCTCGAGTGCTGGCTGTGGCACGCCACTTGTGAGTATCCTTCAGAGCGGCCTCCTGTCCGTTTTCATACTTGCCGTCGATTCTGTAGCACCCGCTACACCACTGTCGCTGTCTCGCGGCCCTCGGTTCGCGATGGGATCCGGGCGTTGAGGGGGCCGATGGTCTTCTTGGTCCAGGACTGGGGGCGGTGCTTGAGTGAGCTCGCGATTCAGAGTGATGCGAGTGAGCATGGGTATGGAGTGCGCACCTCTTTTTGGATTCGAGCGGCCCTCAGCGTAGCCGGCCTGGTTAGGGATCTTCAGTCCGGCGTCTGGAAAGCTCCAGGTGACGAGATTGAAGATTTTGTGGTGGTGCCCGATTTTCCCGAGGTTCCGGGAGGCTTGCTTGATGAGAGCCTCTGGGCCCCTCGTGTTTGGGGCACTTGGAAGTTTTCGGGGGACATCCTGTTCCTCGAGGATCGAGCCTTGGGTCTAGTGGTCCGGCGCTTCGCTTTGAATTCCTTGGATGTCATTGTCGGTCTCCGATGCTCAGCGACAACATGAGTATTGCATTTGTTCTTGCGCGGTCCCGCTCACGCGAGCTTCGCCTCCTCATTCATATCTTCTGGTCTGTGGCCTACAGCCTGGCACGTCACGTGGCTTTTTATTGCAGGTGGATCCCGAGTGGGTTGAATTCCGCGGACGACACCGATTTTCCGAAGAGGCCGAAAGCTTGATGCTCTCACCCCGTTCTTCCGTACCCAGCTAGGTTCAAGCCTGATCTCGCGCATGCCGACGGCCCCGAGCCACCGACCGACTCGGGCCCTCGCTCGACCGACTTGCCGCGACGGACCTGACCTGCTGCGCCGGCGAGGGCAGGCCCCGTCTCTGGGCCAGGGGGCGGGGGCCGCGGCTCGGAGAGCGCCCGCGCAGGAGCGGAGCACGAGGGCGCTGGCTCGGGAGGGCGCCTCAGTAGCGCGGGCTAGGCCGCAGCCGACGCCCCTGAACGCGGCCGCGGCCAGCTCGGGCGGCAGCTCCTTGCTCGAGTCCAAGCTCGACGCCGCCGGCGGAATGGGCCGAGGGCTGTCGCGGACTTTCAGGGGGAGCTAGCGAAGAACCTGAGAGCAGCGCTGGATTTCGGGAGGGAGGGCCCCGGCTTGCTGGAGACCGGGGCGACTTCGGACAACGCGCACCGCCGCTACTCCAGCCATTTCCAGGACGTCGAGGCCCTCGCCGAGGAGCTCGACCCAACGGGCGTGGGCGGCGACGGCGTGGTCGGCGGGTTCGTGATGTGCTTCAACGACAGTTTCCTCAGTGATCGGCAGTCGGAGCACGGGGAGAAGGTGCTGGCGGCCCCTGCGAGCCGCGCCCCGGCCTTGGACGAGACTGGCAAGCGGCGAAGGCCGTTGGTTTGGCGCTGCTTCCGCGGGGGGCGCCGCCTCGCGCCTGGTCGCTCGAGGCGCCCCCCCCCCCCTTGGGCGGCGGGGGAGGCGATGGCTGCCGGCCTCAGCGCGAGGGTGCGCAAGCCGATGGCCGTGGCGACCCTGCTGGGCGGTGGGGCCAGCCCGCGGCCGCGCGAGCTGATGGGGTCGCAGCCCGAGGGCCAGGCCCCCGCCACGCAGCGCGTCGCGGGGCCCTGGCCGCTGATCGCCTGCCCGCAGACGAGTGGGGCGGCCGCCAAGACGGGGGCGACGGGCAACAGCGTGATCCTAGGCGGTAAGAGGCAGCACTGGAAGACACCCCTTTGGGAGACGCGGGCGCGGGCTCGTCGCGCGAGGGCGGTTTGGGCGCTCGCGCGCCCCGAGCGAGCGAAGCCGTCCGAGGTGCCCGCGGTGCCCTGCGCGATGAGACGCAGCGCCCCCAATATCGACGGGGCCCAGAAGTCCCGCCCTCTCGACGAGCTGCAGAAGGGGGGGCGGTGGGCGAGCCACAACTCGGTCTTCGAGTGCGAGAAGGCGGCGGAGCTCAGCAAGGCGTGGCACGACCTGTCCCTGGCGACCCAGAGGCGGCGCGAGGCGCTCGGCGCGCGCCTCGAGGAGCTGCCGGCGCGGGGCGCAGGCCGCGGGGCCGACGGCGCGGCGCGCCGATGAAGGGCCAGTACTTCAGCGATCTCTTCTCGGGCAAGGGCGGGGCCGCCCGCGTCTGCCGGCGCCCGGGCATCCCCGCGCGGACCTGGGAGGTCCGAGATGGCCCATCGGGCGGCCAGACCCGTCGGCCCGTGCTCCGCTGCATCCGCCAAGATGTCAGCGCGGGCAAATTTATGGGTGCGATGTGTGCGCCTCCCTGCCAGTCATTTTTATATGGCTAGAGACTGCGCAGCAGTGATTCGCACTCCCGACTTCCCTTGAGGACTGCCCAAGTAGCCCGCAAGACGCAGAAAGGCTACAGACAGGGAATGCCTGCCGGACTTCTTGCCTTAATCTTGTAAGCTATATGCACGCTAGAAAGATACCGTGGTTTTTTTGGGGAACCCAAAACTCATCTAATATGTGGTTAGTACCAGAAGTAAGAGCCGCGACGGCCCTGGACAGGGCCCATATAGTTGTGAGTGATTTCTGCCAGTTCGGGACCCCCTGGAGAAAGCGAGCTCGTTTCATCTGCGGGGGAATCTCAGAGTCTGACTTGCTAGACCTCAATCGTAGGCCACGAACAGCATGTCCTCCTCAGCGCCACAGAATGTAGACACCACCAGCCCGAAGGATCGACAGTGACACGCAGCGCCCAGCCGTACCCACAGCAGCTGTGCAAGACTTTAGCTCACGCTCTGTTGCATAAGGTACGGAACGCACAGATGAATTATTTCGATTTCGCGTTCACAACCCTCCATCCTTCCGCTCCGCCTGCCCCTGCCAATCCTTCATGACTCGTGGGCTTTCCCTTTCGGGCATCTTCGGGACTACTTATGACTTGGTCCAGAGGCGCTGGCCCAGTATCCATTTGGCGGCCAGGTCGCTGCCGCCAAGACGCGCGTGGCTTCTACGATACGTACCTTTTCCGCTGAAGCACGAGACCCCCTGGATAGGGGGGGCGTGCAGATAGATATGTTTTGGGATTCGTGAGTCGACGTGCTTTAGAGGGGTTTCGTCCGCAACGTTCCTCTCTCAACTCTGCTGCTTCGGTCCACCCAACCCACAACCAGGACTACGTAAAACTTGGTCTAGGGGGCTGGCCGATCATCCATTTGGCGGTCGTGTCGTTGCCGCCAAGACGCGCGTGGCTTCTACGAGACGTATCTTCTCCGCAGAAAAAAAAAACGAGAACCCTTTTTTATATACACATATTCAGTTTGTTATAAATTTCTGTCTCTCTCGTTTTTTTTTTGTCTCTCTCTCTCTCTTGCCCTTTCCCTTTTCTCACACAAACACACACACACTCTCTGACCATTTCTCTGTCCCTCGTGATTCCTTCATTTTCACATCCGTCGTCGCGATGCATCGAAGTGTCGTCCCCGCGCAATTTCCAGCTTCGAGATCTCAGGAGATACGGTTAGATTCTGGCGCCAACAGGGGTCCTTTACTTGTGCCGTCGTCAGGATTTGGCCCACTCATTGCCGCCCTGCAAATCAATGCTGCGTGCTTGGTCACGGCGAGTGGCATTGAGGAGGGATGATAGAGCGGGGTAGACTGGGGAGGGACGTCAAGCTTGTGTTAAATTCTGGACGCTCCGCGTATCCCCCCAAATGCTTTACTCGCCGCTGGCGCTCTCGCCTGCGACTGCTAACAACAAAGTATCCCCCCCAATTCATCCAGAGACGGTGCCCAGGCCAATCAGTGGCACAAAGGGGGGGGGGCAGCCGAATCAGGAGTCAAACAGAGGTGCCTTCGCGTCCTTTCGATCTGGGAGCCTCTTGGAAGCTCCGTGGGGCAATATTGGAGCCCTCTCCGGGCTATATTGGCAGCCTTCGGGTTTCCCTGTGGGCCCTCTCGGGACACTCTTGGTAGCAGCTCGGGCTCTTTTAGGGCAATCTAGAAGGACGTCGATCAAAGGAGGGCCTCGTCCTGTCGCAGCCCAGCATCGATTGCCTCGTTGGGCCCTGTTGGGATGATTTTGAAGTGGTTTAGGGGACCCTCGGGGCTTCTTGGCGCCATTGTGGGCCTCTCTTGGGGCCCTCTTAGGCGACATTAGAGCTACCTTGAGGCCTCAAAGCGCTGTCGCAAGCGAAAAGGCGCGAAGGCAACAATGATTAACACAATCGGTTGATGAAGTATGTTGACCTCTCGGGGGCGATCTTGTGAGCCTCCGAGGCTACTTAGAGCCGTCTCGGGGCCTCGTGAAGCCACGTAGTCATCTGGATGAGTCTGAAGTTATACATTGCGTTATCTCGGAGGCCATCTTGGGTTATCTGAGGTGGAGACATGGTGCGCGATCTTGGACTCTCCACTCCCTCGCGAAACCCTTGTCCCGACCCCAGTGTAGGGATCAGGGGGAGGAGTACCAACCTTCCGAGGGGGGGAGAAAGGGGTTGGAACAAGTATTCCTCTTAACGCCACTGACTTCAGAGAGCTGTGGGATTCGTGTGCGAGTCGCCGCCCTTCTTGCAAGTACAAGGGATAGGGAACGAACGGAAAGTGCGACGAGGGGTTCCGTCAAAAATTCGACGAGAACTTCTTGCGCGAGCGGCAGACGGGTCTCTCGAGCTCACTCGTCAACCTGCCCTTGGCCCGTTCCTTTGAACATACTCTCCTCCTCCCTACCCGCCCTCCTCTTCCCTCTTCTCGCCCCCCTCTGCTCTTTGACGCCCTTCCTTCCTCCGAGGTGTGAATGCGCCGTGTCGCATCCCGACTTAGGCCTGCCCATGCCGTGCGATCCCCAGCGCCGCGATAGACAATTCCTCTCTCTGCCTCCTCCCCTCGCCCCCGCTCCGCACCCGCTCGCCCCCCTCCCGGCGCCGCCTCAGAAGCCCGCCCCTGGCGGTGCCGCCCGCGGCCGCCGTGCAGAAGCAGGAGGCTGTCACCAGCAGTGCTGTGGCGCCGCCGCAGGGCACTCGTGGGGCGGGGCTCCTTCAAGGGCATGGGGGTGCGGCGGAGGGGGTAGCGTTCGGGCGGGGTGGGGGGGAGGATCGAAGGAGGACGGGGGCCGCCCTCCAGGGGGGCTGCCTCAAAAGGGAGAGGGGCCCCCCTATGGGGTCTGGGGGGCACCCTCAAAGGGAGAGGGTGCTTTCATCAAGGCGAAGGGGGGGGCTTCCGTAAAGACGTAAAGAGAGGGGGCTGGCCTGTTCAATGGGAGCCTTCTTCAAAGGGGAAGGGGAGCCACCGTAAGTAAAGTGGGAGCTGTGCTTCCCTTGAGTGTGGGATGGGTTCTTTCACGGTGTGGGCTGTTGAAGATTAGAAGGGTTTTCCTTACATTGGGTGAGGGCGTTCTCAGAGAGGGAGTTCCATTGGACTCCTCAAGAAGGGTGCATCTCTTGTTCGGGTGTCCACTTGCACCTCGATGACGGCAAGACAGAAGTGGCAGGATAGCCAGCCATCCAGGATGAGCGCGCTCTCCGCTCAGCATGTAGAGTGCAACTAGCGGGTATTGGACGGGTATCGAAAGGGGAGGTATTGTTCATATGCTCTTTACCGGGGGCTCCTCAGAGAAATGGGTGCATGTTGCAAGGATCTTAGTGACCGGGAGACGGTCTCATCCTTCAAAGGGGGCATCCCTAAAGGGGAAGGGGACACATACTCAACAAAGGTGATGGGGCTGCCGAATGGGGGGAGGGATGGCTTCTTATAGGAGGGGCGTCCTCAAGGTAGGGTCAGAAGTGGGAGGTATGCTTAGGGGGAGAGGTGGATGTTTTCACTAGGAGCGCTCATTTTGGGGGGGTCATCATTCAGACAGGGCTCTTCTCATGCCAGTCAGCATGTAGATCGGGAGGCGTTCGGTCAAGCGGGCAAACTTGTCTTTTCCACAGGGGGATTTGGAGGGACTCCTCGAAAGTAGAGCATGGGTTCCCTTGGAGTGCGAGGGGGCGGGCCTATTTGAAGGGGAAGAGGGGCATCCTTGATGGGGGTTGGGGGGGGGCGAGGCAGTCTCTCGAATGTGGCGGCGGGTGGAACTTGGCAGTCTGTTGCGAGACCCGTCGGAGAGCCCCTCGAACGAGAGCGGCGCACTCTGTGCGAGGTGGGCGCGCCACGTAACGTAAAGTGATGGCCGATGGCCCCCTAAGGGAAGCCCCCCCTAAGGAGACCAGACGCGGAAATGGTATTAGGTTGTTCGCTCCACACTGCAAAGACTTACCCGCCAGAATATTGAAGTGCGATTCCGCGGGGAACACGATTCGAACAATGCGGGATGCGGCATGCCTCCCACGGAGGGAGGGGATGGGCATTATGAGAAGGAGGGCTAGGAGATGGAGTGCAGAGGATGTGGAGCACCAGCAGCAGCAGCAGCAGCTGAAGCAGCATGGGGAGTGCGAGGACGATAGGGAGGACGAGGACTGGGCTGAGCAAGAGGGAGCGGAATGGGGAGGGGGTAAGAAGACAGGTAGAGGAGACGAGGAATTAGGATGAAGTGCATTCCCGCGCCTCTTGCACTGATGCGCCACTTGCTCTGGAAGGAAGGGTTGTCTTGTCCTCAGCTTCAGTTAGAGGTAGACATCGAAACCCTAGCACAACTAGCCAACGTAACACCTGGCGTGCATAATGTTATGTACCGTCCGGCTCTCGACCGAATCCAGTCGAGGATGAGGCGTCTGTTCGGGGACCACTTCAATTACAAAAGTGGGTATCTTGAGCCAGTGGATTGGCGGCCGCGGGAGTGCAACAAAGCAGCAGACCACGTGGCGAACTGAGTGCTGAGCCACGGGGCCTCCTTCCACAGCTTGGACGCCGAGCGTATCCGGGAACAGATTCCACATTCCGTGGGCGTGCAGGTGTTCGCGGATGGAGGCATACAGGTCGGGAGCGGGGCGTCCGGCACAGTCAGCTTGGTCGTGAAAGCGGCCGAAGGCGATGTCAAGTCCAGTATCGCCGGGTCTGCTGGTCAACAGATCTATCCTGTCCATTCCGCCTTCCAAGCAGAGGTCAGTGGACTTGATTGGGGTACTGAGTGTTTGTCAGCACGATTCGCTATGGGCCTGAACACGCACAAGCGACAGAGATGTGATTTGTCGGCGTTGATCATGTCAACCCAAGCAGGGGCGCAATACGCCAAAAAGCAGTGAAGAACGTGAGCCGCGAAGAAGAACACAGTTGGTAGAGGAGATGAGGACGACAGACACAGGAAGGTGAGTCAGACAGAAGGAATGCGCAAGGAGGGATGAATTTTGGGCAGGAAAGGGGAACAAGAATACGCGTTGCAACGCAAATGACGATAAGATGATGTGTGAGAAGACATCGGAGACGACGTCGACCCTCGACAGCACAGCCCAAACATGGGAGCAGGGGAGGCGGCGCTGTCGCCGCGGGCGGTGCCAGCACATCCTGGCGCACTCTGCTGGCCGGAGCGGTCACTGAAGGGGGGGGGGGAGACTCTGGGGCGGCAGGTCGGGAGCGGTCCGAGGCCTCCGCGGGCGGACGCTCCTGTCTCCTGCGTTGCTCCGCTCGGCCTCTCCGCTTTCCCCCTCCTTGCTGCTGCCGTGTCCCATCTGCGCTCCCCCCCCCCACTTTCCCACCACGTGTTTCTCATCGTTCCCAGACGAGGCTCTTTGTGTTGTTGTGTTCATCTCTTCCCCTCCCCTCCTTTGCACATGCTGCGCCTGGCTTGCTCCGCCGACTGCCCGACCCAGCATGCCGCGCCATCTGGGGTGCCGCACGCTGGCTCGCGAGGTCGCCGCTCTTCGGCGGTCTGGTCCGGCGCTGGGCGCCGTGACCTTTAGTGATCTCCCTCGCTACCCTGGACACTGGAGCACAACATCTCCATCAGCCACACGGATGCAGGGCGGGTCGCCCTCAACATGTGTATCTTGTTTCGTCGCCACCCACAGTCGTCTTAACAGTTTGAAGCAGCTACGTGGATGGCGGATCACTTTCCACGTGTGGCTTTTGCCTCAGCGTCGTGCACACTCGCTTGAGGCATGTCCAAAACATAGAGGCTTGGAAGGCGGATGGTTTTCAATATCCTACACAGTGAATGCACTTACGGGTTCTTACTTGGTTTAACCATCTCGGGGTGAATGGCGGCTGTTGCGGGCGGTGCCGCCCGTTGCCGCCGTCGCCGCCGCCGCTCGGGGCGAGTGGCGGCTTTTGCGTGCGGTGCCGCCCGTCGCCGCCGTCACCGTTGCAAAGATTCTCCTTTCCAAAAATAGAATACATAAACTCTGCCACCCTCCCTGGGATGATCCGTTTCCTTATCTGGATTGCAATTTACACACGGTTCTGTCCCATCGTACATCCGAAATATGAATTCCGACCATCCCAGCCGAGCTGGTATCGCCCCCCCCGGCATTCTCTGCAAAGCACACTATGCGATCACAAATCATAAGTTGCCAAGAATCTCTTGCCAAGAATCTTTTGCAAAACCATAAATCAAGAACCGTGAGTTGGGACGAAGTGCGCACGCGCGCGTCGTCGCGCGCGCATGCCGGAATGTTTCAAAAACCTTCGGCTTCGTAAAGATCTCAGAATCGAATGTCAGAAAAAAGATACGAACAACAGGTTTTGCAACACGGATTTCATAGACAAATGCGCGCGCGCACCCGCGAATTCTAGAGGAAAGCATTGGTTTTCAACATGTACAGAACATGCTACCAAACGGGTTTCGCGCGCTCGCATGTCGAAATCGTTCGAACGCCCTCGCGCGCGTGCCGTCGCGAGAATCCTTTGCAACACATGAGACGAAGTGCACGCGCGCGCTTCGTTGCGCGCGTATGCCGACACCAGTTTATATATATATATATATAAACCTTCGGTTTCGAAGCGTTTTCAATACCGAGCGCCCAAGACACCTACAACAACACATGGTTTCGCATCATCAGTTTTCAAAACGCTCATGCGAGTCCTTGAGAAAACCAAGGGTTTGTTGCAACATGTTCATCGAATTCTGCCGCAAGGGCCTCTCGCGCCGCATGCCGACAGCATTCGCACGCCCTTGTGCGCGTGCTTGGGTGGGGGGCCCGATCCGTGTCAAATAATACCACGCGGGCCACTCTCGCGCGTCGGCCGCGCGCGCATATCGAACTCTCTTTCCAAAACCTTCATCGCCGACGCGAGGGCGCCGTCATCGTCGTCGGCGCGATCTGCATCGGCGCCCGCGCTGGCCGCGCCTTCGTCGTTGCCAACATCGTCACCGGCATCGCTATTATTATCGTCGCGGCTACCGTTGTCGACGTTGCCATGGCGCCGCGCCCGCCCAAGTCGCCGACTCGCATTGAAGTGCCCGTTGGGATGCGCCCGGCGGTCAGCGCCACCGCGGCCGCGTCGGTCGCGCCAAATTAGTTGGCCGCTGCTCGCGCGTGCTTGGGTTGGCGCGGCCGCGGAGATGGACCAGCCAACGCCGAGCGTGCATCGCAGTCGCCACCGCGCGGGTTTCGCAAACCAAGTTGCGGGTGGGTGGGTGGGATGTTTGCAAGAGCATGGAATGCGTCAGTTCGCGTGCGAAAGCCAACTCTCCTTCCCGAGCCGAGAAGATTGCCCCCCTCCCCCTCCCCTTCCCGAGATCTTCCGTTCCATTTTTTTGCATTGCAATTTGCATGTGGTTCTGCTCCATCGCCCATCCTATATATGAGCTCATACCATCCCAGCCCGACCGATATCCGCCTTCCCCCTGCCACCCTCTGCAAAACATACTATGCGCGCGCACTCGTCTACCAAACATCATCAGTTTTCAAGAACCCCTTGCAAAAGCATAGGATGAAGTGCGCGCGCGTCGTCGCGCGCGCATGCCGAAATATTTCGAAAACTTTCGGCTCTGCAAGGATCTCAGAATCTAGCGTCAAGAAACAGGTGCGACTGACAGGTTTTGCAGCGCTGATTTTTTTGGCAGAAGAAAGTTTGCGCGCGCGCTCTCGCGAATTCTAAGGACAATCAGCGGTTCTTCAACGTGTTCAGAACATGCCGCCAAATGGGCTTCGCGCGCGCGTCGAATTCGCCCGGCCGCCCTCGCGCGCGCGCCGTCGTGAGAATCCCCTGCAACAGAGACAGGGCTGACTGCGCGCGCGCGCGATGTCGCGCGCGCATGCCGACGCCATTCAAAAACCTGTGGCGCCGTGGCGATTTCACAACCGAGTATCCAAAACAAATACAAAACCACGTGGTCTCGCAACATCAGTGGCCAATAAAAGCGCGCCCGCGCCCTGGCGACGTCTTAAGAAAACCGACGGCTTTCTCTGCGCTATTATGGGATTCTGACGCGCGGGCCTCTGGCGCCGCATGCCGAAATCATTCGCGCGCCCTTGCGCGCGCGCCGGGGGGCGCGGTCCGCTTCAAATAGCGCCGCGCGGGCCGCTCTCGCGCGCAAGGCCGCGCGCTCGTCGGACTCAGCTCGAGACCTTCATCGCCGACGCGAGGGCGCCGTCATCGTTCGTCGGCGCGTTCGGCGTCCGCGCCGCCACCGGCCGAGTCGCCGTCGCTGTCAACGTCGCCGCCAGTGTCGCCGCGTCTATTGCTGTCGGCGTTGCCGCGGCGCCGCGCCCGCCCACGTCGCCGACTCGCAGTGAAGTGCCCGCTGGGGCGCGCCCGGCGGTCGGCGCCCGCCGCGGCCGCGTCGGCCGCGCCAAACTGGCAGGCCGCCGCGCGCGCGCAATGCGCGGGCCGTCGCGGCCGCGGCGACGCGCCGGCCAGCGCCGAGCGCTCGCCGAAATCGCCGCCGCGCGGGGTTCGCAAGCCAAGTTGCGGGCGGGTGGGCGGGGCGTTTTCGCCGGCAGCGGGGCGGGCAACTTCGAAGTTGAGGATTGGCGAATTCCCCCCCTGCAGAAGCAGAGATCCCCCACCCCCCCTGGGTGATCCCACTCCTTTTTTGCGGTGCGAGTTACGTGTGATTCTGTCCCGTCGCCCGCCCACAAGATGCAGCTGCGCCGTCCCGGGATGGCCGGCGTCGCCCCCCCCCCCCCCCTCCGCCCTCTGCAAAACGTATCATGCGCGCGCGCTCGCTTATCTGAAATCGTTCGTCTTCAAGAAGCCATTGCAGAACATAGTGCGACAGGCGCGCGCGCGCGTCGTCGAGCGCGCATGCCAAAATATTTTAACAAACTTCGGTTTCGCGACGATTCCAAAATGGAGCTCCAAAGAAACTTTAAATACACATGGTTGTGTACATTGTTTTTAGATATACACATATATATATATATATACACACATATATATATATATATATACATATACATACACATACGGAACCGTATACTAGCGCGCGCGGTCCTGCGAAATCTATAGAAGATCATCGGTTTTTTAACATTATCAGAAAATGCTACCACGTGGGCTTCGCGCGCGCGCGCGTCGAAGTCGCGCGAACGCCCTTGCGGTCGCGCCGTCGCGAGAATCCGTTTCAGAAAATGGGGCGAAGTGCACGCGCGCGCGGCGTCGCGCGCTCGTGCCGCAATTTATCGAAAACCTTCGGTTTCCCAACAAACATACAAAAACACATGGCGTCGCAACGTCGGTTCCCCAAAGCGCGCCCTTGCGAACTCGTGGGAAAACAATGCGGTTTTCAACGTGTGCATTGAATTCTGCCGCACGGGCCTCTCGCGCCGCACGCCGACATCATTCGCGCGCCCTTGCGCGCGCGCCGGCGGGGCGCGATCCATGTCGAATCGTTCCACGAGGGCCGCGCTCGCGCGCCGGCCGCGCGCGCGTGCCAAACTCCTTCCAAAACACTTCATCGTCGAGGCAAAGGCGCCGTCGTCGTCGTCGGCGCGATCAGCATCGGCGCCCGCGCTGGCCGCGCCTTCGTCGCTGTCGACATCGCCGCCAGTGTCGCCAGTATCATCGTCGCGTCTACCGTTGTCGACGTTGCCATGACGCCGCGCCCGCCCAAGTCGCCGACTCGCAGCGAAGTGCTCGCCGGGGCGCGCCCAGCGGTCAGCGCCGCCGCGGCCGCGTCGGTCGCGCCGAGCAAGCCGGCCGCCGCGCGCGCGCTTGAGTAGGCGCGGCTGCGGAAATGCACCAGCCAACGCTAAGCGCGCGTCGCAATCGCCACCGAGTGGGTTTCGCAAACCAAGCTGCGGGCTGGCGGGTGGCATTTTTGCAAGATCATGGGATGTGTCGGCCCTTTTTCTGTGCAGATGAATTATCCCAGAGCGACTCGACCTAGGAGTTGGAGCCCCGAGGAGAGCAATACTAGTAGTAACGGTAAACGCCGTCCTTTTTCTCCTCATGGTCGCAGTTGTAGCAGTAGTAGTAGCAGTAGTAGTAGTAGTAGTAGTAGTGGTAGTAGTAGAAGTAGTAGTAGTAGTACTAGTACTAGTACGAGTACTAGTAGTAGTAGTAGTAGTAGTAGCAGCAGCAGCAGCAGCAGTAGTAGTAGTAGTAGTAGTAGTAGTAACAGTAGTAGTAGTAGTAGTAGTAGTAGTA